GGTTCTTTTAGAAACTTTTACCTCTCTAGCAATTTTCCTTTAAAACTTTTCGTTTATTAATAAAAAAATAAAATGTATTACCATTCACCTCACACCGTATATGATTGCAATCAATCAAAGAAAAACTAAGTGTGCTGCTGTCATGCCAGTTGTCACAATTAACTCTTCTGTAAGTTGTCACTGTTATCAGCTAAATACTTTTTGGGTGTAAATTAACAAGAATTATGCCAAATTTTACTAATGATGAATATGTGGACATGCTACAAGTGTTTTTTTCTACGATCGTGCAAAATTTACTACTTATTGCACTACCTACTGTGCCAAAAGTTTAACTTTTTTTACAGTAGTACAAAAAAAATATTGATTACAAGTTTAATCTAAGCATATCCATAAGTACCTAACGTCTGACATTGACAATTTGCGCAATTAATTTCCAGTTGTCAGTTAAAATTTTAATATTATGTAAAATACTGTTAAATAAAATTTGAAATAAAAACAATCGTAGAAAAAATGTTGCGTGCAACATGTGCAAAAAGCATATTTGTTGCACTTAACATGATTGCAGCTCTCAACTTCGTCTCGAGCTGCAAACTTCATGCATCGTACAACAAATACACACTCTTTACAGTAGTTGCACAAATAACTGTTTGAATGTCGCAGAAACTTTTATTAAATAGAAGTACAATGAAAACGAAACTAAGAAATAATTTATTATCAAAAAGAGAAAAAACAAAAAACTTAGTTAAAGGACATTTTCAAAATAATTGCCATTTCTTTCTAAACACAACCTAACACGTTTATCAAAGTTGTTACGGACTCGAGCAAAAATTATGGGATTGTTGCGAATCTCATCAGCCGCCGCGAATATTCTTTCCTGTAGCTCTTCAACACTGTCAACTGGGGTCGCATAAACAATACTTTTTATATGTCCCCAAAAGAAAAAATCCATGGGCGTTAGATCGGGAGAACGTGCAGGCCAAGAGATAGGTGCCTCATTGCCGCGACCTATCCAACGATTCGGGTAATTTAAATTAAGCCACCGCCTAACTACTACAGTGCTGTGAGCAGGAGCCCCGTCATGCATGTACCACATGGCCTGACGTACATTTAATGGTACTTCCTCCAGAAGTGGTGGTAGATGCTCATTTAAGAACTGCAAATATTCAACAGCACCAAGTCGATGAGGTAAAACAAAAGGGCCGACAAGCACATTTTCTACAATTCCTGCCCAAATGTTTAAACTAAAATTATGTTGAAATGTTGTCATAGATACTTCGTGAGGATTTTCATGAGCCCAGGAATGAAGATTGTGCATATTGGTTAAACCATGTCTTTGAAAAGTTGCTTCATCTGTGAAAAGTATCTTTGAGGCAAAATTCAAATTATTTCTTAGAATATTAAGATACGATTCGCAAAAAACAACTCGCTTATGCATGTCTGGTTCAAGTAGAGCTTGAACTGGCCGGTGGTGAAAAGGATATAATAAATTATCATGGACAATATTCCAAACAACACTATGGGACACATTTAAGTGCATTGCTGTTTTTCTCGTACTAGTCTGACGATTTTCGTCAAACTCTTCAAGTACTGCATCCTCAAGATAAATAGTACGAACAGTAGGTCTTCGGCCGGTACCCTCAATATGCGGCTGTATTTTTCCAGTTTCCCGAAGTCTTCGTTCTACCGCCGAAAAAGTTTGTCTGTGGGGAACTTGACGATTTGGATATCTCTCATTATACGCTCTTGTTGCCGCAGCACAGTTTTTGCGACATTCAAAATACACTTGTAGCATGTCCACATATTCATCATTAGTAAAATTTGGCATAATTCTTGTTAATTTACACCCAAAAAGTATTTAGCTGATAACAGTGACAACTTACAGAAGAGTTAATTGTGACAACTGGCATGACAGCAGCACACTTAGTTTTTCTTTGATTGATTGCAATCATATACGGTGTGAGGTGAATGGTAATACATTTTATTTTTTTATTAATAAACGAAAAGTTTTAAAGGAAAATTGCTAGAGAGGTAAAAGTTTCTAAAAGAACCAGTTTATCTAATGCGTATTTTTGGATATCGAGTTTTTACGAAATATAAAAGTTATGGCAAAAAATGGCTTGAGGGGTGGTTATTTCAACCCCTTTCGAGGGGTTAAAATTTTCGAAAAATAGTTGAAAACTCGCATCTGTATTAGTAAACAACCTGTAAAAAATTTGTTATTTGTACCTCGTTCGGTTTTCAAATTACAGCCAATTTTCATAATTTTTTTGGAAACTTTGATGGCCCATATCTCTTCAGGGGTGAACATTTTACTAAGGCGATTTTTTGCAGATCGTGTTCTTTTGAAATGTAGATTCACTGGTATCATTTATGCTACTCCATTCAAAAACACCCTGTATATGTGTCTAGTTAGCTGTACATACATTGTTATCAAAATAAACAAAAGAACATTGATTGTTCAGAGTACCTTTCCAGTTGCAGTTTTTCATCAGTTGACCCAGTTTCATTGATCAAATTACATGCACGTGCTGCAATTGACGATGACACGTGTATGTCACGCATGTTAGACTAGTAATTTAGATGTTTTCAAAGTATTAATTACATGCGAAGCTTCTAATGGAATAAAGTGTTAACTATTTACTGTGATGAAGTTTCCTTGAGCATTTATAAATAAAACTGTAGAGGGTGTCCTAAAATTCAGGCAAGAAGTAATTTTGATAAAAACACAGATTTTTAATTAAAAATTGTACATTTTTTATTGATTTATAAAATAAACAGTATAGGGAACAGTCCATGAAAGTTTTGCATAAATGCGGCTAAATTTATTTCATTGACGCTCAATTTCCTCCTTCGAGGCGTAGGTGGCCGTGGGCTTGTTGGCATAAGCCTTAGACTTCAAAAAAACTCAAAGAAAAAGTCTGCCAATTTTGATCACCAAAACGGGAAATTACACGACCAGGAAATGAATCAAGCAGTAATTGAACTGTTTCGCGGGCTGTATGGTATGTGGCACCGTTTTGTTGAAACCACATGTCGCGAAAAAACTGTCGCGATAGCGAGCAGCATTAACTGTTATTGCTTGACCAGCCACATTTTCGAAGAAGAATGGTCTGGTGACACCTTCAGCCCAAAATCCACACCACACCACAACAGTGACACGTTGTGGATGCCCTTGTTTCTCCTCAACTATCACTCATGGATTTTTTGAACCCCAAATGCGATAATTTTTTCGATAATCTAAGTCAACAAGACAAAAATGAGCCTCATCGCTAATGATTTTGTTGAAAAAATCAGCATCCACTTATTCTATAATCCATTTAACAAACTCTCTTCGCTCTGCGTGATCGGTAGGCCTCAGTTTTTGGGTCAATTGAAGTTTGTAAGCGTGAAAATGCAAATCTTTCGTGAAAATACACTGTAAAGCTTCTCGAAATGTCCAATTCTTGACTCACGGAATGTGTCTCATATTTTTTCTTTCCAAATCATTACTTTCATCTAAAGATATAGAATTCAAATTACCAATTTTTCTTTTTTGTTGCATTCTGCATAATCAAAGTTTAAATTAGTTTAAATCTTTCAACGGAACTTTTGTTTCTATTAATTTATAAATGGACCAGGCAGAGGCGCCCTCATTATTTCAGTTTGTGAAAGGAGCTCTATGAATCTATTTATCAATTCCATTTGAATGTGCAGACACCTCAGCTTTTGAACAGTAACGTTCCCCTTTTTCTTCATGGCGTGAGGTGGTTGAACCCCCTTAGCCTCCTTGGTCACGCCCCTGTAACTTAATACTGGCTTGCACTTTCATTATGCTTTGACAAGTTTATGACACTGACTGATGCAAATTCAATACTGTAATGTACAAAACAAATTACAGAACACTTGAAGCAGTCTAATAATAAACGACATTTCTATTGTTCGGTAGACCTTGGCAGTCTTTGATTCCAATAATGTCTATTGTACACCCTTAACCACGACTTGCCATTAATTATACCAATCGATAACATGTCGGCTAAAATTATAATTATATAATTATTTGTAAGGTCATGGCACCGCAGTAGGTGGAACTGTGGTTTTTGTTGTATCGAACAGAACTTTCCCATCTTGAAATAACTTTAATCTCGTTATATAAATAAACTGTCCTTCGAGCTTCCGTATTGCGGCCCAAGTGCATTAGAATGCTGCATTTCAGCAGCAGAACGGACAGTATAGCATCAAGCAGAAGCGGCTTATGAGAGGCCATCACCTTTTGCTCCACTTAATTGTTGTCTAAGGTCTAAACTATGTTATATATTGGAAAGGTCACAGTTCAAGTGGACAACAGTTTAAAAAACAGTTGCTAGTGTACTATACAGTGTACAAAATGAGTCAAAAAATATTCCTGCCGTACCCTTTTTAAAATCTTTTCCTTTTAAGGTTTTTTTTTCAAAATATGCAATAATAAAACAATGACTACTTTGTTAAATACACTATAAATATTGAAAGTGTTTGAAAATTCTGAAATTACCAACGTCTTATTTGAATCTACAAACCCATTGAAAATTTATAAAATTACTTTATTAATCTGTGGGTATAAAACAATAAATTAAAATAAAACTAAACAATATTATTGATTTAAGGCAAACAAGTGGACAACAGTTTAAAAAACAGTTGCTAGTGTACTATACAGTGTACAAAATGAGTCAAAAAATATTCATGCTTTACCCTTTTTAAAATCTTTTCCTTTTAAGGTTTTTTTTCAAAATATGCAATAAAACAATGACTACTTTGTTAAATACACTATAAATATTGAAAGTGTTTGAAAATTCTGAAATTGCCAACGTCTTATTTGAATCTACAAACCCATTGAAAATTTATAAAATAACTATTAACCTGTGGGTATAAAACAATAAATTAAAATAACACTAAACAATATTATTGATTTAAGGCAAATTTAGCTCTAGCTTAAACTATGAAAGCCTCAATAGAACTCTTCGTCTAAGACTGAATATTTGTTATAGGTTTTATAAAACTCTCTAGGCTCGCACAGATGAAACAGAGTAAGTTCTTATAAATAGAATAAGTTTTATAATAGCTTTTGGCATTGGTTTTATAAGCTACGCTATCCCTTTTAGCTTTATTAGCCTCTTCTGATTACAGTCACAGAAATATAGATTTGTCGATATTTTTATAAACAGTTCTTATCAAATTCCTGTAGATTATTAAAAAATTTGAATGGAAAACTCATAATTCGACGTAAAACTGAAAAGTTCGATTCTCTTTTTTTTTTATTTAGAAACATAGAGGTGTTTTTTTAACCCAGACATTTTAATGAAATTAAATAAGAATCACTATATGACAGCCACTAATTAAACAGATTTGAATGCGAATTTTGAATTAACCTCTAATTTTGTAATTCTCGATGTATTTTATCCGCAGAATTTTCACTCCCTGAGGTTTAATAAATTTGTAATACTAATTTGACGAATAAACGCTTTCCCGTAGCCTGGAGCGGATATCGTGTTTCAGTCAGTTTTGAAGTAAACTGTATCCGGAAGTATGTATGAAAGGTTGCACGCCAACTGAAACATGAATTTATGTGCTTATCAACAATATAGGTAGCATAAGTTAATCTGCTTCTGACATTTAGAAAGCTTGTATTGTTTGTTTTAAATAACGTAGAAGTTTATGATTCTGCTCATTATATGTGATTAATATTTAAACTTAAACAACAATTTTATGATGATTATCGAAGATATATTATTATCCTTCAAACAGGTTGCATGATTCATATTTAAATAAACGGTTAGTCATTCATTTTATAAAATAAGAGTTGAAAGTCAGTTTAAAAAACAGATATTTAACCCTACAGACAAAACACATCAGAAAACAAGTACTTTATTGGTTACAATATTATCTATATAAAAACACTTAGGTTCCTGACATAGTGAAATGAAACGATTTTTATCTTATAAAAGATCTGACTGATAAAAGCAGAGAAAATGTACGCATCACTACACGAGACACTTCACTTTCGAAAATCAATTAGTATCTCGCTATCTCTCGCTATGGAAGCAGATAAACAAACAGAATTTAAAGATCCAAACCTATTTGCAAAAGACAAGATATTCATAGTTTTGAAAACGAAAAGAGATTGTTTTCGAAACATTAACAAAGTGAAGTGCTTTGACATAGTGGTCGACATTTTTTAATTTTTGTTTGTTTTTTTAGTAAGATTTTTGGTTAGCAAAAATATTTCATAAAAACAACTCTTGACCCCTTTGACGCACGGATGTTTGATTAATTTTTTCATAGAGAACAAAATATTAAAATAAACTGAAACAAATAACTTGCTCTAAATGAATAATGCATGCCAAAACGTCATGAATTTCACCTGATTTTTTTATTTTAAGATCTCCAATAACTACAGAGTTTTGTCATTGTATTCTTATTAAAAAAATGTGTCATATACAGGGTGTTTATTAAGTACTTGTACAAACTTTACAGGGTGAATCTTTGACTAATTTTAAGATAAAAAGTTCATATGAACATGGATCCGTAACGGCTTAATTCTTGAGATTAAGAGCTTCCAAAAAAATTTTTGTTTGATATTTTGATTAAACTTTTGTTCGATAACATGGTAATTTGACGAAATTCGGGAAACTGGGAGTATTGATGATGAGAAACTCAAATATTTAGTTTTCTGTTTAATGTTAGAAGGCACCACATACAATGTTGAACCATAACTTTTTTGTGTCGCTCTGTATGTCATTTTTGACATATCTATTCTCCAATCAATTTTACGTAGAAAAGATGCTCTTAGTATTTGTCGCTGAAAGCAGCCGTTTTGTACAAAACGGGTTTAAAGTTAACCCTGCGTTCATGGAATTTTGTAACTTAAGAGTTTTTTAAAAACAAGTGAAAAAATGTGTACTCATTTGCAAAACTAAGATTAAACTACTTCTACAAATAAGTGTTCATATGAACGTTTTATCTTAAAATTAGTTAAATATTCATCCTTTAAAGTTTGTACAAGTACTTAATAAACACCCTGTATATTTGTATTATTCCTAAATATTACTACTACTTTTTCAATAATTTTAAAATGGAAAGAGATAAATACCTTCTGCTTTCATATTTAATTTTTTTAATTAAAGGTCTATAAAAAAGTGATAGGATTGCATTTAATTTTTTGAAACGATCAGACTGAGTACTTTGAAAAACACCGCTGTTATTAACAAATTAACTTTTATGTTGATTATAATAAACGTAAATCAGATGAAAAAACTTTTAAATTGATCCACAGTTTGTTAAATTCGAATAAAGCAAATTCAAGTTACAGCATTTTAATGCCTTTGTATGTAATTTTTTGAAACAATCAACTGAGTACATTACTTTGAAAAACACCCCTGTTATTAAGTATATAAATTAACTTTTATGTTGTTTAGAATAAAAGTAAATCAGATGAAAAAAACCTTTAAAATGATCCACAGTTTGTTAAATTCGAATAAGGCAAATTCAAGTTACAGGCATTTAATGCCAGTGGCATGATAAAAGAAAATGTTAATATTTTAGTTAATAGTGTAAGATATATGTATAATGTAAGATATAAATTTTAAAAAAAAACTGTTTCTGGAATATACCCAGAGAATTATCACCAAGAATATATGTGTCATTATTCTCTATTTGATCATAATTAAGAAAAATTGTATAAATTAGTTTGAATTAACTTAATACCTTGATTAGCGATTGAGTAGAGTAATTAGCTGCAAGTATGAGTTTGTCAATTATATGTACTTAATTTCAGTAACGTCACTTTTAAATACGTAATTCTACGCTACAGTAATGATGAGACAACGAAGAGAACGTTTTTCATACGAAGTATGACTAGCAGAGAACAATGACAGCATGCAACAATTGTTTCATCCAATCTAGTAATAATAATGCAATGCTCCCTGAACTCTACGATGTGATGAAATATACCTATTTAGTTTTAATTATCGTTTGTTACAGTGCTCCCCCAGCTGTTGAAATAATCGCGTAAAGAATGCCCATAAATAAAATATAATATCGTTTTCGGACATTCACCCCATTTCCTTAATTAGCAGTAATAACCGAATTAACAGTAACAGCACTAATAAAAGTGAACAACAGTGCCAGAGGCCTCTAATAGGGAAATAAATTTAATTACCAGTGAATTTATGGTATGCAAATGATAGTGTAGAATACGTGAAAAATTTATGAATCTACTACTTTTCTTGACAAAGCATGAAGTACAGGATGTTTCTGAAAAGTAACGCTACTATTTCTTAAGAAAAGATGTTAAAAAATCTCTACCAAAAAAATAAGACACAATTTGCAGCCAAATATAAATTTCTAGGTCATACGCAAACATAATAATTAAAATAGTTTCATATTTAAACGTCTGTATACATATGCTCTTTGTAGTTAGTTATTCTAGTTATTAATAACGTTAAATTGAGTGATTCATTTTCTAACAATCAGGTGCTGTTAGATTTTTATTAATTAAATTAACATGTGCTTTTCTAATGCCATATTTTTTGGTTAACTGAATTAAAACAATTTTTGGACTATGTACTAAATGTTGCCGGCGTCAGTGAGTATCATCAATGGGTCTTTTAAGGTTAGATTTGAAGATATAATGTCTATGTAAATGAGAAAATTCTAAAGCAATAATCAATCAAAGAAATATTTCTAGATAGGTACAATGTACAATATTACAAAGCCGGTTTATACCAATATTTATTATTATAAACTCGTAAAAAGAAAAACAAGGTGAAACTAGCAACAAATCATATTTCACCAACTTTTAAGATTGTAAACTAATAACTGTTATGAAATAAATAAAAAATATTGTACCTATATGTTACACAAAACGAAATCATGAATGTATTGTTGCGCAGTCGTATTGATCTTATATTATTAAATTATATCCGCAACATCTAATATTAGATTCGCGTGATCAAATTTCTCAAAATGTTTTCACGACATTTACAATGAACATAAATATCATGATTTTAATTTACATCTCTCGTGAAAGTTTCGGTGGAGATAAAACTGGCTTGAAATACGAACTAGAATTTCTTTTCCAGCATGTATAAGGTGTGTCTACGAGAGAAGTTATACCCATGATTTAGTGTAACAGTTAAAATTAATTTTCAAACAGAAATCACAGTCGTGCACGGTTCTGTTGACTTTCAACATTAACAGCTAGCTTTTATATTCTTTGCAATTTTGCCGAAATTTGTCTCTTGACAATAATATTTGAACAGAATGCGGCACATGAGAAATAGGTAGTGTTAGAGTCAATGATTGAAACAAATAAAACCAAGTCAATTAAATACAATACGGTTTTTAATCACCAACAATATTAATACAACTCGGAACAAAATATAACATTCAACCGCGCACTACGCAGCTCAAAACCTATCTGTCCCTTAAAACCCCTATCCAGTACTCTATCAACACTTCTCACCCAAACTGTGGCCCCGTTGCCCTCCCATTCATTAGGAACCTTTGGTTACAAATCAGTCTATATTACCAACATGTCAAGTTAAAATAAACAATTTTTAATGCGATTCTAACAGTAGGTATGTAATTACTTTGGAAAAAGTACCAACAGTTTATCATATAGCAGTGGTTATTAAATTTAAACAGAATCCATGCATATATCATGGGCATCTTCACGTAATTTAACTTATTTAATTATGCATTTAATGTTTAATGTCTTTCAAATTATTCATAACGCCTTGTATAAGTCATTTTTATGCAAATCTTTGAACAGATAGATATTCTCAAGAAATTTCTAATTTCTCTAAAAAATATATGGAACACATGTTTAATAGAACTTGAGAATTAGCAGAAATAACGGATACAAAATCGATGAGAATATAAAACTGATCTTCTATTAACCGGCAAAAAGCTATTTAATGTAGGTCACTAGATTGTAAACAAAAATAAACTGTTCGTTTTTATTATAGTTAATACGTACAACAATAATAATGTTAATACACCTAATGCTTTCAATAGAATGACCTACTTCTTTCAATTAGATGTACTTAGGTAAAAATAATACCAGTAACTGACTTGACAATACATCGACAAATACACCTTTTGACATGTAGCCAATGAACCTTATTTTAAATTGTCATAAACTACTACTAGTTAATGTACTGTACGCTATTTTAAAACTATTGAGTCGTCTTCAAAGGTTATTGCCGGCAATAACTGTTATTGCCAGTAAATAACAACATTTCTTATATTATTTGTTTTTTGAAGATATAAAAGCCTAAAGTTTCTACTTTTTTATTAAATAATAATAATATAAATATTTTTTGTTTTCCCTTTATTTTATACTGTTTAGGCATATTGTACAGAATCAAATAATGAATAATTTAGCTATTTTTGGATATAAAATTCAAATTCACCTACACTATTAATTTTTTCAACGGGAACTTGTTATACGACCTTCACCGTCCAGAGACTGTCAGAATAAGATAAATATTTTGGCAACTTAAATTAACAAAGAATGTTTATTTGTTATTATTATTTCTAAATAGGTGTACGTTATAGATAACAAGTATTTATATGCATTTTAAGAATTAGTTAATTTACTTTAAATATAATATAATATATATATATTTTTCATTTTCATCAATCATTTATAAGCGTATCATAGTCGTTCGTGTATTTAGCATGTTGAAGAAAATTGGGTAATATTTAATCGTAGCCTTTAATTTTTTCAAAAACATTAGATTAAACATTTATGTTTAAAAATGAAAAGTTTGAATAAATCTACATAAAACTTGAGAACTTTTTCAATATTGCACATATTACAAAACATTAAACCAATATACAAACAAAATCTCAAAGTATATCCAATAATTGCACATATTTGTTAGGTTTTTTTAAACGAATTTGTTCATTTGTATGAACAAATTCGCATTTTTGTAAATGTGATAGGCTTTCTCATAAATTGCTTGCAATAAAAGGGAATAACTAAACTCCCAGGATATCTTTGCCAATTTGTAGAGTGTATTATTAAGCTGGCAGGAATATTACTCACGAGCTTTAAAATTTTCCACTGGATATCATTTAGAGGATGAGTTTCATGTTTTTATTGATCTAAGGCTCGTCCTAAAGAAAATACGAGACCTTGCGGAATGGTTGAGTATCGAAGGATTTTCATCATATTTATTTTTCATGAATGAATAACAAAGTATGTTATTAAGGATATTGATAAACTCATTAGATGGAACGGTTTTTAAACAAACATTTGAATTTTGATTGCTGGTTTGCGGTAAACATGAGCATTAAATATATTTTATTTCACATCTGTATATTTTGGAAAATTACTTATAAAATATTTATGGCAAAAACACACTTTATGTCTAAGACTAACTTTTCAATATCTTAATATTTGTTCACAAGTAGTTGCTTTAGAAACGAGCATATAACTTTATGACTGCACATGTTTCATGACCTAAATTTTTGATGTTGTAATAGTTGAAATAGCTGTAAATGCACAATTAAATTTTCGGTGTTACTGAACTATTCGTAATGTTTATAAATGATGTATACTTCCTTAGATATAAGTTTTTATGCGTTATTTGTGAAGTTTAAAATTTTTTACAATAACTTGAAAAATTACTACACACTTTGGTAAGAGCCAATGGAAAGAAATATAGAATATAGAACCTTCAAGAAACCCTTATCTTTAATTCATAACATTTTATTACGCCATTTCGGAACATTACTGATATCTTTTTAATGGAAGTAAATGTTTATGAATATTATCATGTAATTTACGATAGCACATTAAAATTCGTTCTATTAGATGTATTAAAGCATATGAATGGATAGTAGGTAAATAGAAAATTTGTGCCATGAATAAAAGAGAATAAAAACTAAGGGGCAAAAATTGTGAAAAAAAAATTAAGTTATAGGCTTTATTGTTTCCTAGTTTGTCTGTTATTAAAAACCCTCTAAAAATGTCTACGTTAGCTATACTTCATAATTCATCAAAATTCCAAACAATTTTTCCGCTAGTTTTGGAGAAACTATTCCCAACTATCGTTTTATCGAAAATAACTCCAAACTTAAGTACGTTTCTTATAAACCAATGCAAAAAATTAAAGAATCAAAATAATTTCCGAAATTTTTACGTGATTTTTGACAGATGTATTTAGGTGAAAAATGGTCGTATCGGAAATTAAAAAAAAGCACTTTAAAGCTCTAAGATTCTAGTTTTTAGATCTTTCGATCGAAATTTTTTAGGAGCCACGGGTTATCATGCAATTCTAAGAAATAGCGCGACAAAATAATTTGCAAATTTTCTTTTTTTTCTGAGGATTTTTTCCACGGACTTGGAAAATTTTTTTTCAGCTAAGCCATTGCATGGATCAGATACCTAGCTTGTTTATACAGCTTCAATTTCCTTTATTTTTAAATTTCGATACGACCATTTTTCATCGAAATATCGGAGTTTTAATGGAAAAGGATCCTTTTGTCTTCAATTATCGATATTTCGGCGACAAATGATCGTACAAAGAATTGAAGGGCGCAGTTTCGAACACAGGAATAAATTTTCTCACATGCTGCCGCAACTTTTCGGAATTTTTTTTTTTCATCTTTTACACGAATTTTAAAAAATAGGAAAAAAGGGTAATTTATGGTTTTTTAGAAAATGGACGGCTAAATTAGAAATATTCAGGAAATGACTAATGTTAAGCATGACTTTTACAGTTTGATATACCCAGAAGAACCCTGTGAAGATTCATCCCGATCTAGCGAACCGTTTCTTTGTTTGAAACAGTCAGACGTTTGAAAAAAATTAAAAGGTCACGTTTTTTGAGCTTAAACACTTCATACTCAAGATTAAAATGGAAAGAAAAAATTTTTTGAGGTATTCTCACATTTTTACCGCAAATAACGTTTAAATTGATGAAAAATTGATTTTTTTTTTTTCAGAGAAGAAAAAAAGTGCATAGAAATTAATTGGAAATTTGTCTCAAAAAACGCTATGAATCGGAGTCGAAATCTGGTTTGGATCATCAACTTTAATTTTAATTGAATTAAAAGTTGATGAACAAAAGTATAGAACGATTTTGTTTTCTTCAATGTCGGGAATTCCATTTCCATTTCCATTTTAATCATTTTCCATTTCCATTTTAATCATGATTATGAAATGTTTAAGTTTAAGTTAATGCCAAAAAACTTAATTTACCCATTAATTTTTTTCCATAGTTTGACTGTTTGAAACAAAGAAACGGTTCGCTAGATCAAGATGAAACTTCACAGGGTTCTTCTGGGTATATCAAATTGTAAAAGTCATGTTTAACATTAGTCATTTCGTGAATATTTCTAATTTAGCCGTCAATTTTCTAAAAAAACCATAAATTACCTTTTTTCCTGTTTTTTTAAATTCGTGTAAAAGATGAAAAAAATCTTTTTTTCCGAAAAGTTGCGGCAGCATGTTATAGAAAATTTATTCCAGTTTTCGAAACTGTCCTTCAATTCTCTGTACGACCTTTTGTCGCCGAGATATCTATGATTAAATACAAAAGAATCCTTTTCCATTAAAAGTCCGATATTTCGATGAAAAATGGCCGTATCGAAAATTAAAAAAAAGGAAATTGAAGCTGAATAAACAAGATATCTGATCGGTGCAATGGCTTAGCTGAAAAAAAAAAAATTGCAAGTCCTTGGACTCAGAAAAGAAAAAAGAGAATTTACAATTTTTTTTTGTCGTGCTGTTTCTTAGAATTGCATGATACCGTAGCTCCTAAAAAATTTCGACTGAAAGATCTAAAAACTATAATCTTAGAGCTTCAAAATGTTTTTTTTTAATTCCCGATACGACCATTTTTCACCTAAATACAGTTCTGTTAAAAATCACGGAAAAATTTCGGAAATTCTTTTGACCTTTTAATTTTTTGCATTAGTGTATTCTTCAAAACTAGAACTTTTAATCTTTTATTTATTTATTTATTTACCATTTGGGACACAAACAGGCGAAAAAACCCACTAAATTAACAGATAATCATCAAACAACAGCACAAAAAGTTTTAGGATAATAAATAGCATAGAAAATATTATAAAAGAAAAGCATCATAAAAAGAATGTATATAAAAACAGTCAAGTATATATGTATATGTGAAGGATTGTTTAATTAGGCCGTTTGTTTTTTATCCCAAAGAAAGGGAAAATAGATTTCAAATTTATAGAAAGTATTTACACCACAAACTACAAAGTTGAGTTAAATACACTAGTCACAAAAATTAAGGAATAAAAAAAATCTAAATTTTTAGTTGATTTTCGGAAAAAAACATTTTTTTTTGAAAAAAAAATTATTTTTCAAATAACCAATGATGTGAATTTTTCATTATTTTCAGGCGGCCTAGAGAAAGGCGGCATATGCGGTCTCTGCTTTCCTCGCAAAAGGGGCCCGGGAGCCATCGCCGTGGGCCCCCCGCAGTGCCCTCACAGCCAGGTCTCCAGCACGAGAAGTTCCATAGCAAGTTCGCCCCACAGCCAGTGCCCCACCCCATTACCATTCCTTGTTAATTCTGGGTCAGTAGGGTAAGTCTGCTTTCATTACTTGACAAACGGCCTATCGGTAGCGAAAGTGGTTGCGAGAAAATTTTTTTCAGTCACGGATAACGATCACGTGTGTGGTTAACTATTGATTTCTCTTTTGCTGTTAAATATAAAAAATTGTAGTGTATTAGATTTGCTGATAATGTTTATTTATGAATTTTATAAATGTTGGTATCGCTATGCATTTAGTATATAGCGTAGATAAGGGCATGCCTATTTATATGTAATTAGTAACAGGAAATAGTTTTTGTCCGGTAACTAGAGATTTAACAGCTCGGAAAAAACGGAAAAATTAGAAAAAAAATGTTTTTTCGTTTTTCCCGAAGGAAAGAGTTGAAATAATTTGAAAAATGTAGCAAATTACCTCAAATTAAAAAAGCACAAATTAAATATAATATTTTATTTAAAAAAGCAGGATTTTTTAGTCATTTACTTATTTCATAAATAAGAAAAAAATTGTTTTTCCTCTTTTCATCTCCATCCGTGGACACACTGCATATTTTATCTGCGTGTGATGTATTTTTCAGAGTTACCCAGTTAAATAAAAAAGTATATATGTATAGATATAAAGGGGTTTAGCCCAAGATCATAATAAATAGCTTTTGGTTATATGAAAAGCAAGTAAATTTATTCTTCAAAAACTCTTTATTTTGTTTTTATTATCTTAAAATTCACATCAATCTTCAGAAAATGTGGAAAAGCCAGGAGATTTTTAACGTCCTAAGAATCCGTGACTTTATAACTAAGAGAGCATTTAGGAAAATTTACGAAACCTCCAAAATGTTTATGAAACAGTTACTCTGTTTTGTCCGCCTCACGTTTTGCGACTCGTCAGAGGAAACTGAGTAAATGTATACAGTCAAATAAATAATTCTCAACAGCAGATATGTTGCTGATATAAAGGATAATGTTTTAATTGATTTTTCATCGATGAATACTAATGTTTTTTTCACAATCGAAAGGAAGTGGCATCCTGTTGCATATCCTTCGATTGTGATTGTTAAAATATGGGCATCGTTAATTGTCTCTCGTACAAACATAGCTCACGATATGTGTTCCTTAGGTCTTTAGGTTCCTTTGTACAAGGTATGTCCGAAAACGAAAATAATAAGGACAAATTATTGTAGAAACTAACTTTTTGAATTCAACTACAATTAATTATAGTACCTACTTTATTTATTCAGCTTTCGTAAGTAAAAAATAACAAGTTATCATATGTAGAACCCGAAAATAATTGGTTCTAATTTTCAACATTCAACGAATTAGTTTGTTTTGCCAATTTGTTGTTTATCTTTGTATTGTGGTAAATGAAACTAATGAAAATGAAGATATTTTATTGAAAATATTGTACAAGTATATGCATGCCATACTGCTGCATGTTCTGTATCTATTCCAATTAATTTATAAATTTTCGTTGCTGTTTTCTTGTCAAAGTGAATAAAATAGACCAAGAATTTATTTTTTCTAAAAGACAGATGAAGCAGCGTCAAAATGTAATAAAATAAGAGCTAGCCTTTGGTGACAACAAAAGTAAAGAAAACTGTGTAAATTCATATAAAATAATTGAAAGTGTTAATTAAAACTGAATATACCGAAAGAAAGAATAAAACAATGTGTGACAACAAGAAATATCTCCAGAGCATTTTTCCAAACCTGAACAGTCAGTATTTCTTAATCCTCCAACATTATTTGACACGTCCTTTCTAAATTAGTTGCAACGGGTTTTACATAGTACAAATTTTATTGTCATTATTTTTAATACATGGCATTAATTATTCGTTATGTTTTAAAGAGGTAATTTTCATGTGCAGATGTGGTTTGAATAAGCTATTAATCTTAGAATGTTTTTTCCTAAATCTAATTTCGGCATTTATCTCGTTTGCGAGTTCTTATTGCATTGAAAGTGCCATCTATTATCATTGTTGAAAGTAAAGAAGGAAAAGAAGGTCAAGTATCAATTACCAAAAGAGAATTATACAGGGTGTTAGAAGTTTGACTGCCTTAATTTTAACAGACGATAGAATACAATAAAATAAACAAAAGACCTTATATGACATAATAGGTCCTAAACTTAACCATTTCCGAGAAAAAAATTATCAAAGTCTTCAACTTGATCTACAAAAGTTCGATTAATTCAGGAATATTGACATAACTGCGTGCATAGAATACCATAAAATACAATGTTTAGGTATCACTTTTTTTAACTCTATGCTTAATTCTCAAAAAAACTAAAATTAATTAGCGCTGTAATAAATTTAAAATTCGATAAAATTTATATCGAGCAATGTGACAATGGCGCGGCGGATAACACGAGGTACTAAGCTGTCCAGCAATACGCAATTCAGTTGGTATCTGCAATTGGACCGTGTAAAAACTGAAAAAACAAAAGTCTTGAAATTTACTAAAAGGTTCACGATAATAGTTGTTTACATTTTTTCCGTAGGACAAGTCTGCCGCGTGCACACGTGGTATCCACCAGCTGTGTAGGGTTATGTTAAGCGCTGATGTTGTTACGTTGTGATGAAACTCTCTAATATTAATGCTCGCTGTATTTTGAAAACTGTTAATCTTACGCCCCTGTAATATACAACTTTTTTGGTCATTTATGATTATTCTATCTCATGCTGAAGTAATGGCTGTCCAACTTCTTACACCCTGTATAGTTACTAATAGTTACTGTACAGGGTGATCCGAATTTTATGCAAGAAACTTCGAGGGCAGATAGATCTCTTTAAAATAATATGTGTTTGCCTTATAAACATAGGTCTGGAACGGCACCGTTTTAGAGATACAGGGTGTTGAAGTTGTCAAAAAAATTGATTTTTTGTTTATATCTCTGGAATCTATTAATCGATCTTAATAAAATTTGGTACATATAATGTATGATAGTAGGCCTTATATTCCCTGAAATATTAGCTTTAAAGGTTCAACCAGTGGTGTACAAATGGACAGGGGTCACCCTCTTTTTTACAAAATAAACTACGCCGCTGCATTTTTTACATGTCATTGTAACTGATTTATATTTTAATGCACAAAATACGTAAAAAAGGTGACTTTAATTTTTTCCCTAAGATTCGCCGTTCTCAAGTTATTCATAGCAATACAATCCCCTTGTGGCAGACACTTCTAATAATAATATGACAAGAATATTTATGTTTAAAAGTAAGTGCAATTTGTAAGCACATCAACAAAATTATTTACACTCCTTTCTAGACCACCTGTGAGGTAGTGTGCGATATAAACAAAAAATCTATTTTTTTTAACACCTCAACACCCTGTATTTCTGAAACGGAGCCGTTCCAGACCTATGTTTATATGGCAAACACATTATTTTAAAGAGATCTATCTACCCTCGAAGTTTCCTGCATAAAATTCGGACCAATGTTGTAAAGCTCACATAGAAGAACTTTTGTGACGAAAATCTTTCTAAGGAAATTTAGGTATAAACGATTAAAATAGGGGTGGCCTACCTTTAGATCTCGAAAAGGGAGGCACATAGATTTGCAAAATATCTTTTTTTTGCAATCAACTAATATATACAATCAGGTTAATGTGATTTTTTTGTTCATAGTGATATCTATTTAAATTTTAATGTGATAGTAACATTCGATTTCTAAAACTTTGTAATACTGTAACCTTAAGAAAAATGAAAATATTATGAAGATAAAAAAACTCCTAGATATATTTAACAGTAGATTACGGAAAAAGAAATGTATTTTGCAAACCTTTTCGAGATCGGCCACCCCTATTTAAATTTTTTATTTCGCAAATTGCGTTAGAAAGTTTTTCATCACAGTTCTCAATGTGAACCTAAAAATCACCTCCTAAAAAACGATTGGGTCCCTTCATTATCAAAATACGACCAGTTTAATTTTCACGAGCTGTCCCTAAATATAGTGTTATTCTCTGTATTGAAATGTTTGCGAAATATTGACAGCCAAACAACGTGAAGGAAATCCGTACGAGGTCATCATCTTCGGTATTAGAAGATTATAAAGGGTACTCACGCGATTGATGAAGCCAACTCAAGCTCGAGCGTGCCAAATAACGATTATTCTTTTTGACGTTACGAGAAAATACGCTACTACCCTTTACGATTTGCATATTTTATAGATGTTTATTACATAATTGTTGATATTTGCGAAAATATTTACATAAAAAGGTGTATACGTCACGCAATAGAGCATATTTCTCAAGAACGCATTCTAAGATTTGTCGTGAAGAGAAGTGTATCTATTTAACGAGAAAAATCTACTCAGTTATTCTGATCGTCTATGGTGTATTGTCCAAATGCATATTTCAACTTGGTTTCTATTTCATAATAAGCTGTTCACTCAACTGCTAGCGATGACAACAAAATACTGCTCTAGGATTAAATGTATTTTCTCGAGCGTTTGATGAAGCATTTGATTGATTATACATTTGGAAAATTCCACTGCTATAATATCAGAGACATATTATTTTACTGTCTTCTGAACCCATTAAATACTTTATCTGGTCGGATCTCCAATATTAGTACACAAAATCAAGTAAACAAGATATACCAATTATTTTTTACGACCCCTAAGTGTAAAATAATTCGTTGTTTATGCTGATAAGCGACTGCCTTTTTCTAGACTATGTAGAAATCAGGACGTACTTCTTGTTTACTGATTGTATTATTGTAAATCGGTTGATAAGCGTTCAGTACTCTTTAGCCTAAATTATTCGCAATAATCTTTACCAGACTTACGAGTTTTGTGTTTTTAGTAGATAAGTTGTTAAACATGACAAGGATCAATTAGTTGTTCGGAGATGACTCTGTTTGCGCATCTCATCGGTCAGATGAGATTGATTGAGCTATATTTTATGTCCAAACTAAAATCCGCCACGTCAGAAGCTACAAAACTATTTCACTTGCGTCACAGAAGCTTCGATAGACTTAAACCATAAACCTCTTTAAGCTTTCCTATTACGCCAGAGAGTTAACAAGGGTTTACTAA